ACTATCACCAAGAGGTGGGGACAGGGCTTGGGCGCTGCTGGGGGTTTATGCAGCAGCACCCTGTGTGTTAAGGGTCACACAGGTGTGGGTGGCAGGGGGGGTCACACAGTGTCGGGTAGTCTTCATTCCTCTGGGGTCTCACAGTCTTCGCTCCTCTGGAGTTCCGCGGTAGGCGGCTGGCTTTTCTTCCCGGGTCTCTTCCCAGCCCCTCTCGCGGTGGAACCCCGTCTGGCGGCGGCGTTCTCGCGCTGCGTCGCTCTTGCTGGCGCTGTGTTGCTCTCGCTCATGAAGGTTCTTTACATATGAAAATCTATGGCCGAGAACCTGGATAAAGCTTTCCATCAGACAGACATCACAACTGTTATGAACTCAGATAATAAGTCTGGAGTGTGTATGTGTAAATCTATTTTGTAAAAATCTTTGCAAGTATTTTATACATACTTAAATATAAATAAAAATTTTAACTGGACAACTAAAAATGAGATTCCACAAGCAGTGTATTCAATGTCATTGGAGATGGTAAGGCCACAACAGTCTCTCTCCTGGGGCATACATTTCTCTGTGAGCTCTTGCCAGTCCTTTGGGATTCTGTCAGGAAAGGGATCTTACTGTTGGATCATACAGATAACCATTATCTACCTACCACCATAGGGGAATCTCTCCCGTTCTGCTACAGTTGTTCCAGGAGAGAGATGGCAGCAGAGTCAACTGAATCATTGATGGTACAAATAGCAAGAAGAAAGGGAATTTAAGAGATGAGGAAGAGAGAAATGACAGAACTAGAAGCCTGCATGTCTGAGTTGAGTAGTGACACAGGTTGGATTGATTTTATCAATTCAGTGAATAAATAGTAACCACCTTCTATACGCCAAGAAGGTATTCTAAGTGACAAAATACACAAGGTATTAGTCAGAGTCCTAACAGGAAGAAAAAGGGACACTCAATATTGGGTAACTAGAAGGAGAGTTTGAGAACCATCTACAAATGTGAGAACCATGAATGATAGCAGGGAATCGTGATGTTGTTGCTGTTGTACCATCTAGTCAGAACTGACCCAGAACTGACCTTCTGGTGGTTTTCAGAGGCAATTAATTGCACAGGAGGAGACTGATCATTCATTTCCTGTGGGGCAGTTGGTGGATCCGAACAACATGCCTTTAAGATTGCAGTGCAGCTTCTTGCCACTAAGCCACCAGAGCTCCTCAAATCTTTTTGGACCATGTGTAAGTTATCACTCACTTATGGGTTGAATTGTGCCTAGACATCACTGTGTTTAGAAAAAAGGGGTATTGTTGTGTTAATGAGACTTTAGCATAGAAGAGTGGGCTCTAAGCCTAATCACTCAGAAATGTATCATAAAAAAAAATCCACACAAATATACCCAAAGATGTGTGGAAGACAGATGCCAAGGAACACTAAGGTACGTCAAGAGACTAGCGGAAACTTCCGATCTAGCCACAAAGAAGAAACTCACTTGAGAACCAGTGCTCTAATTTATACTTTCAACCTATTAAACTGTGAGAAATTAAATGTCTGTTGTTGAAAGCCACCTACTTGTGATACTTTTTGTTACAGCAGCACGTGTAAACTAAGATATACATACCCCTAAGCTTGGAAGCAGGAGTGGCATCCACTTCCAAAATAGTTTGCCTCCGGAAACCCCATGAACCTGGAGAAGGGGTGATAGTTATACAAGTGTTCAGGTCTTTCGTTCATACGGTCACGATGAGTCGCCTATGACTCAACAGCACTTAACAACAACAAGAGTAGGAGTGATTTTTAAGTGGAAGACGAGGACAGCTATAAGGACCATCTTTCCAGAACAGTGTTATTTGGTGAGTGAAGAAGCTCACCTGTAGAATATTTCAGGAAGAAAGCTCATGAAAACTGTATAGTAACCTCTCTCAGACTACCCCTCCAAACACCTCCAACTAGAAGACAGATGCCAAGGTAGTTTGTTGCCAAAATGCCTCAGAGTTGAGTGAATCAGGAGAGAAAGTAGATCCAGTGCTCACAAACAGGAAGTGAGCAGCATAAACATTAGTCTGATTTGCTGATGAGTGGAATTTTCACATAATGTTAATACTCAGGTATAAGTGGCATGTCACATGATGTTAAATTCAGGAAAATATAAACTTGTAAATGTAAAAATAATACCTTCTGGCATGATCTGAGTTTGTAAAATATTTCTCCTTGGGATGCCTGGGAAAATATTGTTTGACCTTCAGTTAAGATCTTCTCAGGCAAACACTTGATTCTATCTACCCTCAGATGTTTCACATAAAGAAAATTTGACATCCCAGTGGCTACACATGAGCTTTGACTACAAGATTCTCTTCAGGTGATTTGGTCAAAATACCTAGAAAAAATATTTGTGGCCAAGTGCTTCTCCAAATCCCTCCACCCTGACAATTGTGAGGCCCTAAGTCTTTAAGCTGCTTTTTATTTAACCAATATCTTCTGGGACCAACACATACATACACATGTAATTGGCATGCTGACCAACATGTGGTGGGATGTGATTAAGAGACAGCTTAGCTTTATCTCTGTCCAAGTCCCTTTGCATTTGCTCAATAGAATGATCTCTGGTTCTGGATGAAGACTTGGCCGGGTAGGAATTTTGCCTCCTTTTCAGATAATGGGCCGTCTCCTCTTTCTCTCTGAAGGAGAATGCTGGTCAGTTTTTGCTTTCTTTTTCCCTCTGTCCATTTTTTGTATCCAGCCCCGTCCCTCCACCCACTGTCCCAGTTGCCTTTTACTGCCCGTTAGGGCTGGAGCTCCCAAAAGAGAGGCATCATGCGAGAGTCAGCCCTACCGGAAAGATCCTCAGTGAGACGGATTGGCACCGTGGTAGCAACAGTGGGTTTAAGGCATCAGAGATAATGAGGATGGCTCAGGCAAGGCAGTGTTTTATTATACACAGGACTTTTACGAGTCAGAGTCTCTTCAAAGGTTGCTGTTATTGTTATATGTTGTTGAGGTGACTAAAACTCATAGTGACTGTTTGGATACTATCTCTGAACCCTGCCCTATCTTGAGCAAATCTCACTGTCGTTGATACATCTTCCCCATTGCCACAGTCTAACCACCTCATCTAAGATCTTCTTCTCCTGTGCTGACTGACCCTCCACTCTTCCAAGCATGATGTTCTTCTCCATGGACTCATCCTTCATGATTATGTGTCCAAAGTATTTGAGAGGGAGCTTCAAAATCTCAACCTCCAAGGAGCAACGTGGTTCCACCCTTTCTGGGACAGACCTGTTTATTCTCTTGAAAGTCCATGGTAGATTCAATACTATCCTCCAGCATCACGACTCAAAGTCATTGATTCTTCTTCTGTCATCCTTAGTCAATGTCCAGCTCTCAGATGCATAGCAAGTGACTGAGAAGACCATGGCTTGGATCAAGCATACTTTAGTCTCCAGACTGACATCATTGCTCCTTTGCCATCTGGAGAGGTCCCTGACAGCCAACTTTCCCAACGTAATTCTGCTGATGCCAAGAGTGTTGACTGTGTATCTGAGCGAGAAGAAATTGTTAACAACCTCAGTCTCTTCTCCAGCATTGAAAGCTCTCAGTAGAGCACTAAACTGTACCTAACAGCAACAACAGGGCTAGAGTGATAAGTGAGGGAGCAAGGAAAAAGTAGAGCTAGAGATCCTTCTTCTGTCCCCAAAGACTATCTGAAATAAACTCTCTCTCCTAGGAGCTTGTAGTGATTCTTCGAAGAGTCTGTGGCAAGGCTCCTCTTACCAAGATGCTCTGTCACAGTGTCTGGTGTGCTAAACACACAGATTTTCACAGTTAGGGTCTGTTTAAGGAGGAGATGCAACATGGAAATAGCTGGGTCTGAAGTCTACCTGCTTCATAAAGGAGAGTTGTTTGTATCAAAAATATTTATAGAGCCAAACCAACAGCTATATGGTCAGACATGCCACCCCACATGCTCCTGCACCTATTTCTATGAATCACTGGTCCAATATTCATTGCAAATTGACTCACAGACTTTACTCACAGGTGTGAGATTTATTAGAGAAATAAGTTGGGGAGTAGAGGAGGTAAAGAATATCACACAATGCAAGTCCAGATTTAATCCATCAGTCTCAAGGCAGATTAACGAAGGACAATTTCTCAACTATTGAAAGTCCAGGTTAAGTTCAGCAGCACAAATAAGCCTCTGGTTTCCTTAATCATCCAGAAAACTTTATCTCAAAGCAATTACAAGCTCCCTTTTCATTCAGTCATCCTGCAAGCGAAACCTTTAACTGTGACTCCATCTCCAGGATTCCTCAGGATTCCTTGCCAAAGTCTCTTCAGTATCTCACAGTCTCTTCATAGCAGTGCCACAGTTTCTTTTTTTTTTTTTTTTTAGGGCTTCACGGTTTTTATTAAAGGTCCCAACAACAGTCTACTTTTTCTTCTCTACATCCTGTTCTGCGGCTTCCTTCGCCCTCTTGGCCCGGATGCCAAACAGCCGGGCATGGGCACAGGCCATGCGGAGACTAGCAAAGGCCTTGAAGTCCTTCTCTTCCTGTGTAATGACCCGGGCTTTCTCCTTCTTGTAGACATTCCGGATAGGCATGACAGGTCCCGTCAGCTGAGTGGCCAGTTTGAGTTCCTCAGCAGAACTGTCTCCCTTCTTGGGGGCGGAAGGCTTCCGTGGGAAGAGGATGAGCTTGGAGCGATACTCCTTCAGCCGCTGCACGTTGGCCTGCAAGGACTCAGTGGACTTGTTCCTCCTCCGTGGGTCCACGGAGATTCCAATGGTCCGAGCTACCTTCTTGTGGATGCCGGCGACCCTGAGTTCTTCCAGGCTGAAGCCTCTGCCGGCTCGCACTTTGGTGTGATACCGCACCGTGGGGCAGCGCACGATGGGCCGGATGGGGCCGGAAGTGCCACAGTTTCTTCATCCTCTCTTCACCACTGTCTCTCACAGTGTAGAAAGAGCTCTCTTATATTGGTCTTACAGTTTTTGGTGATTTACAAATCCATCCGTGTGTCCTCAGTTTAGGTAACTGGAGGCCATGCTCCCAACGGAGGCTAACATGATGGGTTGTTTTTATTATTAAGTGCTGTCAAGTCATAGGCGACTCATAGCGACCCTATGAATGAAAGTCCTCGACCCTTGCAAGACTTTCATCCTTTCTCCAGGTTCATAGGGTTTCCAGAGGCAAGCTATTTACAGAAGTAGATGTCACCCCTGCTTCCAGGCTTGTTTTAACTGGGGAGCTCCACCAAGCACTGTCCACTGTGGGTAACCATTATCACATTCGACACATCAGTGTCACAGTGTTTAGCATTATAGCAACCACAAGTTACCTCTGTAAGGCAAGTGGACACACCAGGGCTATACGACCTACAAGAATGTTTGACCAAAAACAATTAAGAACTGGCCTGAGGGCCACATAATGGGTAGAAAAGCCAATTTTTAAAGTAATTTACTTACACTGGAGAGCCTTCTAACCTTCACAGTATATTTGGTGGTTGTTACCAAACACTTCACAGATGAAAATAAGGTGTGTCCTCATCTATAAAGGTTTGTTGCCTAAGAAACTTCAGGCAGTTCTACTCTATCCTACAAGGTGGCCATGGGTCAGAATCAACATGATGGCACTTGGTGAATTTCATAGTCATGTATAGATCAAGTATGGTATAGCTCTAATAAACAACAACTATCTTCTTAGCAGCCTGGTAAAGATAGGAGCAAATCTAAAGTTGCCTGCTTAGCCAACTCTCATTTCCTATCATAGTAATGTAAAGAAGCATTACTTTTTTTTTTAATATCGCTACAGATTTTTAATAGATGAAATTAGAAAGATATAAGCATTAACTAATTTGGCATAACCCTTTGAGGTTGGACTGCACTTTACTCACTGTCTTGAAGATAAATAATTAAATGCATGAATATTCTGTATTTGGTGCTTGTACAAGAGTCACATGGGAGCAATTAAAATTAAGATTCCTGAGGATCTCTACTTTGAAATAATGTATCTATCTACATTTTAATAAGGTGATTTTGATGTATGGGTTCAAAAGACCATATTTGAGACACTGGTGAAGGTCAAAGTATACTTGTAGGTGCCTGTGGAAATTCTACTTCCTTATTTCTAAAGGAAGTCCTCTTACATGCCTCCGTTGGTATTTTGACTATATAATCAAACAGACTATTTAAAGTTTAAATAAAAATTATGTTAATATATTTTCTTGTTAAACATTAAATTATTCATTTATCTTTTTCATTAGATTAACTGATAATTTTGAATTGTGGTCTTGATAATTATTACTGAGTATATCATAGATATGGACAATCAAAAGAACAAGCAAATCGATACTGGCAGAAGCTCAGCCACAATGTTCCACAGAAAAGAGGATGATGGGGTTTAGACTTCTAGGCTGAGGGAGTATTAAAAGGAGGAGCCAGTCCCTAGAGAAAGACATTCTATTTGGTAAAACTTAAACCCAAAACTCATCACTCTTGAGTAAAAACCAACTCAGAGCTAACTCTCCCCAGGGTTTTAACAGATACGGTGGAGATTGCCTATCTGTCTCCCAAGGAATAGCTGATGTATTGAAACCCTCTGCTTTGGGTTGGCAGCACGACTTCTTATCCACTAGGCTACCAGAGCTGCAAACGTCAGTGAAAAACTGGAAGACCTTCAATGGGATGGATTGACAGAGTGATTGTAAGAATGGGCTTAGCCACAACAGAGATGATTATTCTCATTCACACTTTCCTTAATTGGACCCCTAAAATTTTTCCTATAATTTCCATTTCTCGATCCTTTAAAGTGAGTTTGGATCCTAAATGTAAAATGAGTCTGTGTGTATGTCTATATATACACACATACTAATTCTATAGCAATGTATTTTACCTTCTCATGTTATAAAAAAATAAAGTGTCTCAAACACTCAACTTGTTGTTAAGTGCCATCCAGTCAAGGGTGGCACATAATGACCCTATGAACAACAGTTCTGAACCTTGACCTATCCTGCACAGTCCGAACAATCTCTGGTAGGCTTAATCTCATTGTGGTAGTCACTGTGTCAGCCCATTTCACAGAAGATCATCCTCTTTGCTGACCCTCCACCTTTCCCAAATGGTGTCTCTTTTCAAGGAATAGTTCCTCCTGAAAATATATCCAAAGTAAGTGAGCAAAAGTTTCAGTATCTTTGCCTCTGAGGAACACTCTGGCTGCATGTCCTTCAAGACAAGACATGTTTGTTTCTTGATATTGTTGTTATGTGCCATTGAGTTGCTTGCAACTTATAGTGACCTTATATACCACAGCTCTGCACCCTGCTCTATCTTGAGCCAATCTCAATATCTTTGACACACCCTTCCCTCATGAAATTTCTTTCTAAGGACTTGTCCCTCCTTGCAACATGCACGATGTATGCCAGATGAAGCTCCAAAATCCTTGCCTCCAAGGCAAGGTTTCACCCTCTCCAGGACAAATCTGTTTGTTCTCCAAGAAGTCTATGGTATAAAATGCATGCAATATTACTATTTATCACCAATATCACGAATCAAAGTCATTCTTCTTTGATCTTCCTTATTAATTGTCCAAACTTTCAGATGCATAACAAGTAATTGAAAGGATCATAGCTTGAATAAGATTCATCTTATTCTTTAAACTTGCATCATTGCTCTTTAGCATTTTGGAGAGGTCGTTCACAGCACATTTCCTGAGTGCAATTCATCTCTTGTTTCTCGACTGTTAGTATCATGATTGTAGATCCAAGCAAAAGGAAATAATTGACAACTTTAATCTTTTCTCCATCTATCTATGATGTTACCTATTGGTCAAAAGGTGAGGACTTTTGTTTACTTGATGTTAAGATGTAACCCATATTGAAGGCTGTTGTCTTTGATCTTCTGTATTAAGTCCTGTAAACTTTCTTCTGTTTCTGCAAACAAGTTTGTGTCATCTGCATAAGGCAGGAGCTGATGAGTCTTCCTCTAGCTCCTGATGTCACATTTTTCTACATATAATCCAGCTGTCTGAGTGATTTGCACAGCATGTCAGTTGAATTTGCACAATTTTTTTTTTTTTATTTTGGACCGTGCAGTGTTTCCTTGCTCTGTTCAGAAAACTGCTTCTTGGTCCAGGTATAGGTTTCATATAAGCACAGTTAAGTGTTCTGGGTTTTCCATACCTCTCAATGTTATCTATACTTTGTTATGGTTATTACAGTCAAATACCTTTGTGTTATTAATAAGACATAAGTACATACACCATCTTTCTGATACTCTCTGGTATTAATGAAAAACAAAATAGCCAATTGCTTACTTGACTTATGGTAATTGGTACACTCATTTAAGTTAAGTAATTGTACTTATAGGAAGAGCTCATATAAGCATGTTGGAAAGAACGCTCTGATTTTCGAAAGTGTTAAGTCCAGAAAAGAGGGACAATGAGAAGAATGAAGAAGTCAGAATTCAAACACTGACAGCCTTACCTACTTCTGATAAGAAGAGCAAACAGCCTTGCTTGCCTAGCTAAGCTAGCAGATGGACCATAAATCAAAGTGGAATGTCCCTCCCTAAAGACTCTGCTATACAAACCCTCCCCAGTAAGTTCACAGTGTGACTTCCCCATTCTGCATCTCCTGAATGAGGAACTTCACCCGGGAGCTCCCCTACCCCACTCCCTTTAATAAAGCTGCCTTAAGCTTTCTTTTGTTCTCTCTGATTCATATACACTAAGGGTGAAGAAGAAGTTCAGGGATGAGCAGGAGCAGAGATCAGTACACTTTTTCTTGAAACAGTAAACACACAACTACTCATTGCTTTTGACACAAAAGCACACCTAAGTTCTAAGGTAATAAACAGGTTTGGAGTGTGTCAGTACAACTTTATTTATACAAATAAGCAGCTAGACCATGGACAGTCATTTGCCAACCACTGAACTACAACAGTGGTTCTCAAAAATCAACATGCATCAAAATCAAGTGATGTTTTTTATTTAGTAGGTGTGAGGAACTTGTAATTCTCACAGATCTCCAAGTTATATCACACTGTTTGTCTGGCGCTCTTAGAACCATCAGAACAAGAGAACAATTAATACCTAATGCCTCCTGCATGCTATGAGCAATGGACACTATTGTTAATGAAGGTAGTTTAGCCCAGTCCCCTTGAATACTGAACCTTAGGGGGAAAAAAAAGTATTAGTTAATGTTTTGTGAAAGAGCCCTGGTGGTTTAAAAATGGAGCTCAAAAAAGTCAGCAGTTGAACCTACCAGGGCTCGATGGGAGGAAGGTGGAGCAATCTTCTTCTTTAAAGATGTACTGTCTTAGGAGCCCTGTGGGTAGTTCTGTTGTGTCTGCAGGAGCACTCTAAGGTGGAACTGACTCAGTGACAATGGGTTTGAATGTGGAGGCTGAACTGAAGAAAAAGGAGAAACAATATGGAAAATGAGGGAGAGAAAGAACTTGGGTGGAAGGGCGTGTGTTTCTGAGCTACTTAACAACAAAGAGATTACCTACTCAGTCTCGAAGAGTTCTGCCAGCTTCCGTCCTTTGTCCTTTTTGTTTGTTTGTTTGTTTATTTGTTTATTTCTCATTGTTGGAGTTCACCAGAACATCCAGCTCGGGCCACCCCTCTGGGAAGATGGACCTCTTCCTGTCAGTCTGTCCACAGTGCAGCCCTAGATACCTTAGATACCTAGATACCTTAGCCTGTTCTCTCTTCTCATCCATTAAATGTTAGTATTACTAGAATGTCATCTATATTCTTATTTGTTTTCTCAGAAACATCATCCTTCTGACTTCTGTAGCATTGTTCTCTTCAATGATGGTTCCAAGCCCTGTTTATTTCTCCAAGTGTATAAACCAGAATGATCCTTAGCGTTTTGTCTTGCCACGTTTGGTACTAAGGAAAATCTCTTGACATTTATTGTTAGA